ATCCTTAGTGTTTTCGATGACTCATGGACAGGGGCGCCTGGGTGGCTCAGTTGGTTAAGCGTCTGTCTGACTTTGGCTTGGGTCACGATCTCACGGTTTCTGAGTTCAAGCCCCGCATCAGGCTCGCTGCTGTCAGCACAGAGCCTGCTTGGGATCCTCTGTCCCCCTCTCTCTGCTCCTCCCCCACTTGCACTCGTGCCTCTCTCTCTCTCTCTCAAAAAGAAAAGAGAGGAAAGTGGAGGGTGGGTCCAACTGGTGGGGCAACTAAAAGGTTTCTAAGAGCAACTCACTGTTCTTGGCCCCACTGTGATGAGGTCTCCCTTATTCTCACCTCTTTCAACTTAGTGATACCTTCTGTCTGCACGACACATACACAAGCCTGTGTGGGCGATTTTTCGAAAATGAAGGGAAGAGGGGGGTTGCATATTTGGGCCCATGTGGTAGGTGCACAGCACATGCAGGACAGAAGAGGGGCTGGGTGCCAGTAAGCCCCCCAAGTTCACAGACATTTGGGGAGAGGACTGGGCTTCAAACAAATCCTGTAACAAATGCTTGAGCCGATCTTTGGCTAAATTCAAAGGAGCAGAGTGACCCCTGGTGACATTCGGTTATGTGAGTAACGTTTTTGTATTGCGAATAGGTGATAATATAAAAATATTGGGGAAAAATTGGGAGAATATCTCACATAATCGTAGAGTGATAAAGATCTTTCTTTTTTTTTTTTTTTTTTTTTTTTTTTTTTTTTTTTTTTTTTAAATTTTTTTTTTTTTTTCAACGTTTATTTATTTTTGGGACAGAGAGAGACAGAGCATGAACAGGGGAGGGGCAGAGAGAGGGAGACACAGAATCGGAAACAGGCTCCAGGCTCTGAGCCATCAGCCCAGAGCCTGACGCGGGGCTCGAACTCACGGACCGCGAGATCGTGACCTGGCTGAAGCCGGACGCTTAACCGACTGCGCCACCCAGGCGCCCCGATAAAGATCTTTCTTAATAAGAAATGAAATCAAGAAACCATAAAACAGAAGACCAATAAATATGGCTCTTAAAAAAATTATAAGTTTCTCCCCCCAAATTACATTTTCTCACATAAAATACCATCATTAAAGTAAAAAGATTAAATAGTAAACATTTTTGCCAAACAGATGACAAAGAATTGAACTCCTACAAACGAATTATAAGCAAAAGACTAAGAACCTCAAAAGTTGTCCTATTTCTACTAAGAATAGAAAAAACAAAAACAGGGGCAGCTGGGTAGTTCAGTCAGTTAAGCACATGACTTTGGCTCAGGTCATGATCTCACAGTTCATGGGTTTGAGCCCCACATCGGGCTCTGTGTTGACAGCTCAGAGCCTGGAGCCTGCTTTGGATTCTGTGTCCCCCTTGCTCTCTGCCCCTCCCCTGCTCACACTCTATCTCTCTCTCTCAAAAGTGAATAAATGTTAAAAAAAAAATTGGGGGGCATCTGGGTGGCTCAGTCAGTTAAGCGTCCAACTCCCGGTTTCAGCTCAGGTCATGGTCTCGCGTTTCGTGGGTTCGAGCTCTGCATCGGGTTCTATGGTGACAGTGCAGAGCCTGCTTGGGATTCCCTCTCTCTCCCTCTCTCTCTGTCCCTCCCCTGCTTGCTCTCTCTGTCTCTCTTGAAATGAATAAATAAACTTAAAAAAAAATTTTAAACGTTAAAAAAAATTTTTTTAAAAGAAGTTAGACACAGAGTTACCATATGACCCAACAATGCCACTCCTGGGTACATACCCGAGAGAACAGAAAAAATATGCACACACAAAAACTTGTATGTGAATGTTCATAGAAGCAGTGTTACTCATAGCAGCCAAACGATGGAAACAACCCAAATGTCCATCTGCCAGTAGATGGATAAACACAGTGTGGTCTATTCATACACGGCATGTTATTCAGCCATAAAAAGAAATTAAGTACTGATACCGCATGGATAAAGTTTGAAAACATTATGCTAAGTGACAGAAATCAGTGATACAAGGCCACCAATTGTATGATTCCATTTATACGAAATGTCCAGAACAGGGAAATCTGTATAGGCAGAAAAGTAGATTGGTGGCTGAAGAGACTGGGGTGACAGGGGACCGGGGAGAGACTGCTAATGAGTATGCACCTTCTTTTTGGGGTGATAAAAGTGTTCTGGAATCAGAGAGTGGTCATGATCGCACAACTAAACTAAAGCCCACTAAATTGTACATTACAATGCTGAACTGTATCGTATATAAATTGTATCCTTTTGAATATCTTGGTTCTACCACCTACTAGCCATTTGGCATGAAGTGAAATACTTAATATTTCTGAGCCTAAAATGGGGATAATAAGTAAAAACTACTTTTCATAGGGTTGTGTGAAGATTAAATGAGTCAATACATATGACGTGTTTAGAATGATGTTTGGCATACAGTAAGCACTCAATAAATGTTGGCCATTATGTGTTAGGTTGAAAAAGCAAAATGAAAATAGTGTATATTCTATTGTGGTTTGTATATATTAAAAAAAGGTTTGTATTCCTTGACATCCGCCCGATATTTCTGGAAGGATATATGGGAAAATAGTGTTTGCCTCTGGGTCAGGGGCATAGGGTCTGGCGTGAAAGAGAAATTTACTTTTTATTACGTGCCCTGCAACGCTGTTTGATTTGACCATGGGCAAAGAACAGGCAGCAGGTTACACCCAAGCTGTGCCTCAAGTGGTAGAATCACACGTTCGCTCCTCGGTCAGGAGTGTCCCGCGGGCCCCCGTGAATAGCGTACTGAGCTGGCTCTCCTTTGGCACTTCCCTTCCCCTTGCCTCTGCCAGGCGGTTGGCTCTCAGCTGCTTCCCATTCCTGTTAACATCCACTCCACCCGCTTGGCCTCCCCTCCCCACCGAGCTGGGTCACAGAGTAGGACACGACTGTTGGTCACCCACCGCCAGCCCTGTCGGCAGGAAGGGCCATCACCACTGCTGGACTTTATTTTCCCCGTTTTATGGAAGGAGGTCAGAAAAGTTGAGTCACCTGCTCAAGTAACACAGCTGAAAAGATTCAGCACCAAGATCTGAACCCATGTCCGTCTGTCTTTTCCATCACGCCCTGCCCTACTTCTCAGAACGTCACCGCTAAATGCTGAGGGGCAACAGGCAGTGGTAAAGTATGGAGAAATGAAGAAGGCTCTAGAGCTGAAGGCTGAAGGTGCCACTGATGTAAACTACCGTCCGCAGAGGTTTGTGGGGAAGAGCTAGGGGCGGGGAGGAGAAGAGGAGAGAAAACACATTAATCCAGGGACTTTCGAGTTCGGGGGACTTTGCTAGTGGCAAAGCTCAGTGATTAACAGCTCAGGCTCACAGTCTGACAGATCCGTGTGCAACTCTTGGCTTTAACACTCATCGGCTTTGTGAATTTAGACAATGCTCTGAGCATCACTTTCCTCACTAATAAACTGAAGAAGACTAGGAAGAATTATCTCAGAGGACTGTGACAGTAAAATAAAATATACTGCATGTACAGGTTTAGTTTAATGTCCGACATGTAGTAAATGTCCATTACATGTTAAATATCACTATCTCAGGTGAACCTCATAAGAACGCCATGACCTAGGAATTACTGTCCCATTTTCTAGAGTAGGGCAATGAGGCTCAGTGCTCTCTTCCCATTACACCAAGGCTCCTGAATTTCAAGCAGGTAATTTAAATCCCTGGAGAAATCCAGGTAAAAAGCTCAGTCAACGGGTACCTACCTCCACCAGGAATTACCCTTAGGAGATTTCCTGACTATATCACCCACGTCTGTAAGAAATACCCCCATTCTGACCCTGACATCTTCACATGGCTGGCTTTTCTCCCCAGATCTCCTAGCCCCTCTGAAATCATCTCTACTATTAAATTTCCAATCATGTGCTCACCTGCTTGGGAAGCATATTCTCAAATTCTCTTGCTTCTGATATCCTCTTGACTTGTTTTGCAGCTTTCCTCAAGACCAGAGTCTGCCGGTGATTCTCTGTCAATATAGCGTTGGCAAAAAAAAAAAAAAAAAAAAAAAAAAAAAAAAAAAAAAAGGATCATTGGAGAGCATGTATGGCAGATCTCCGCTTCCTAATCGCATGAATTACCTGGGTGTATTCAGGTCATTGGGAAATAGTTCAGGTAAATTCATACAATCTCACTTGTACTTTAGCCAGATCTATACCTGCGGCCACACATTTGTCCCTCTATATATCTGTCCATCCATCCATCCGTCCATCTATCCATCCAACAAACATCCACTGAGCATTTACTATGTGTTAGGTCCACGCACGGTGCTGGAAATAGACTATCTTCGAGCAACTCACAGCTTAGTGGGAAAAAAAGACATGCAAATAACAAGTGTAACACCAACTCAGACGCCATGCATACAGTTCTCTACAAGTTACACCATGGCCAGAGAATAAGGAAGGAGAGGGCTGATGGCTTTAAAAATGCTAAGCAGCGGGGTGCCTAGCTGCCTCAGTCAGTAGAGCACGCAATGTCTTGATCCGGGGGTTGTGAATTCAAGCCCCCCATTGGGTATAGAGCTAACTTTAAACAAACAAACAAACAAAAAAATAAAATAAAATGCTAGTAGAATCAGGAAGCGTGTTGAGAATAAAAGACCCAACTCTTGCACAAAATTCTGGCTTTACTGTGGGAGAAGGTTGACACAGACCATCTTAAAGATGGGCAGAGAGAAACAACAGATCATCGATAAAGGGATAACAGAATGACTGCAGAGTTCTCGACAGTAACAACAGAAAGCAGAAGACAATGGAATCAAATCATCAAAGCATTTAGGTAGACTTGTGGATCCATAGGAACTATCTTCAAGAAGAAGGGTGAAATAGGGGTGCCTGCATGGCTTGGTCAGTTAAACGACTGACTCTTGGTTTGGGCCCAGGTCATGATTTCACGGGTTCGTGAGTTCCAGCATCAGGCTCTACCAATGGCGTGGAGCCTGCTTGGGATTCTCTCTCTCTCCCTCTCCTGCCCTCCCACACATGTGCTCTCTCTCTCTCAAAACAAATAAATAAACTAAAAAAAAAAAAAAAAAAAAAAAAAAAAAAAAAAGAACAGAGATGAAATAAAGACATTCATAGAAAAATAAAAACTAAGGGAACTTACCAAAACGCTTGTGATAAAGGAACTGCTAAAATTCTCTTTCTCATTCTCTCTTTCTCTCTAAATATCTATCTATCTGTCTACCTAATTTTTTTTCCAGGAAAAATGATCCCAGAAAGATGGTCTGAGCATCAGGAAGCAGGCAGATAAACTGACAGTTTAAGACCAAACAAAAATTACCTGCTATAATAAGCATAATATGTAATTTGTGAGGTTTTAAAATAGAACAGAACTAAAAACTCTAGACAAAATAGCATTTAAATCTGGACAGAAGAGATTGGAGTTAAATTTGTCCAAGTCCTTGCTTTGCTCGGGAAAGGAAGTGGGTTAAGATATTATTTAACTTTACATAAAGCTAAGTATGCATGAGAAAATTTCAAATGCACACAATAAAGCAAGGTTTCTCAATCTTGGTGTTACAGACATTTTAGCCAGATGATTCCTTGTTGTGGGGGATGTCTTGTGCATCGTAGGATGCTTAGCAGTATCCCTGACCTCTACCCACTAGATGCTAGTGGCAATCTCTCCCCAAGACATTTATGGCCCCAAATGTCTCCAGACATTGCTAAATGTCCCTTGGCGGGGGTGGGGAGTGGTTAGCCCTGTTTGAGATTCACTGCAATAAAGAATAATCTGTAATGAAGAACAGAGACAGAATACATAGCATCCAAACAATTAGAATAAAATGGAGTAAGAAAAAAAGAACCAAAAGAATTCTATCAGGATTCCAGTTCTGGTTAAGATAAAGTAAGCAGTCCCTACTCCATCTCCTACTAAATGCAACTAAAAACCCTGGGCATAACGCATGGGGTAGCTTTCTGAGGAAAAGTAGACGCTGGCAGGTGACTTGGAGAAGGAAACCAGAACTCAAAATAAGAACCATATGGCAGTGAATTTCCTGGATTTATTTTCTTCCTCTTAAATGTCCCAGCTCAAAGGCAACATGAATCCCAGAGCTGAGCATCAGGGGAAGACAGAAAGAGATCTAACAGAAGCTCTCTGTTTGTGGTCATGATCTCCCCCCGCCAGAAGAGTGGGGGAAATCCTGGATTCTTTTCTCTCCCACACGTGCATCTCGGCAAGCCCTCTTCCGGAAGCTTGCAAACCTGTATGGTAGTGACAGCAGGAGAAGTGGCAGCTGGATAGGTATCTAAAACTCTGAGGGACGGGAGTCCTTCTCTGGACCATGGATTTGTGGTTCAGAAAGTAGGAAGGGAATCTCTGTCACTTTTTTTTCTCCCTCTGTCTTCCCAGTTGGCCATGAAGGCAGACCCAGTCACAGGAAGTATGCAGAAGAGTGGAGAGACGGAAGTTCTAACTTTCTAGCAGAAGACCAGACAGGGGTGCCTTTGGAGCCAGTGTGGGAAAGAAGAGAGAGGTCAAGAAAGGAATCCCATAGGGGTACCTGAGTGGCTCATCGGGTAAGCTTAAGCGTCTGACTCTTGATTTTGGCTCAGGTCATGATCTCAGAGTTGGTGAGTTCAAGCCCAAGTCAACTCCATGTTGAGTGTGAGCCTGCTTGGGATTCTCTCTCTCCCTCCTTCTGTGCCCCTCCCCCACTCACGTGTGTGTGTGTGTGTGTGTGTGTGTGTGTGTGTGTGTGTGCGCGCGCGCGCACGCGCTCTCTCTCTCTCCCTCTCAAAATAAACTGAAAAAGATCTTTTTTAATGTTTATTTGTTTTTGAGAGGGAGGGAGGGAGAGGGAGAGAGAGAGAGGGTGGGGAAGGGGCAGAGAGGGAGGGAGACACAGAATCTGAAGCAGGCTCCAGGCTCTGAGCTGTCAGCACAGAGCCCAAGGTGGGGCTCAAACCCACGATTCATGGGATCATGACCTGAGCCGAAGTCAGACACTTAACCAACTGAGCCACCCAGGCACCCCCAAAATAAACATTAAAAAAGTGGGGGGAGCTGAAAGAAAAGAACTACCAACCCAGAATAACCAGAAAAAAATATCCTTCAAGAAAGGAGGTGAAATAGAGACATTCTCAGATGAAAGAAAACTAAGGGAATTCATTGCCAGCAGGCCTATTGGAAATGGATTACTGAAGGAAGGGTTTTTTAACCCTCAGATAGAAGGAAAATGGTATGAGAAGAAAACTTGGAACTTCAAGAATAATGGAAAAACAATATGGGACACCTGGCTGGCTCAGTCAGAAGAGCATGTGACTCTTGACCTTGGGGTTGTGAGTTCAAGCCCCACGTTGGGTGTAGAGATTACTTAAAAATAAAATAAAATAAAATAGAAAAGAATGGAAAAACAATAGAAGTCATAAATATTTGGTTATGTACAGTAAATACGTGTTAAAAATAGTAAATATATAACGTAAATAGTATATAACGGTGGCTATACACAGTTAACATAGACTGTTTCTCCTCTTACATTCTTCAAAATATGTGGGATGATCACTTTGGAGTATAGCTTGGCAGTTTCTCAAACTGTTAATCATATGACCCAGCAGTTCTACGCCTATGTTTACATACACCCGAGAGAACTGAAAACATACGGCCACACAAAATCTTCTCTGTGGGTGTCCATACCGACATTCCTTATTTTATTTATTTTTTTAATTTTTTCAATATCTATTTATTTTTGAGAGAGAGAGAGAGTGACAGGACGAGGGGCAGAGAGAGAGGGAGACACAGAATACGAAGCAGGCTCCGGGCTCTGAGCTGTCAGCACAGAGCCCGACGCGGGGCTCGAACTCATGGACTGTGACATCATGACCTGAGCTGAAGTTGGATGCTCAACCAGCTGAGCCACCCAGGTGCCCCCCCAGCATTCTTTATGATAGCTGCAAAGTGGACAACCCAAACTGAATAAAAATTAAAAGACCATATCCAAAACATTTGTGAAATGCCTCCATGTGCAGAGGGAAATCTATAGCATTAAATATTCATGTTAGAAAAAAAGGTTTTCATTTTTATTCAGTTCAAAATATTTTCTTAAAAAAAATTTTTTCTGTGTCTCCCTCTCTCTCTGCCCCTCGCCCGTTCATGCTCTGTCTCTCTCTGTCCCAAAAATAAATAAACGTTGAAAAAAAAATTTAATAAAAAAAAAAAATTTTTTTTAATGTTTATTTATTTTTGAGAGAAAGAGCAGGGGAGGGGCAGAGAGAGAGGGACACAGAATCTGACGCAGGTTCCAGGCTCTGAGCTGTCAGCATAGAGCCCGATGCGGGGCTTGAACCCACGGACCACAAGATCATGATTTGAGCTAAAGTCGGATGCTTAACCGACTGAGCCACCCGGGCACCCCCAAAATATTTTCTAATTCCCTTTAGTACTTCCTCTTTGACTCACAGGTGTTCATGAATTTGAATGTGCAGTTGACCCTTGAACAATGTGGGTTGGAACTGTACAAGTCCACTTATATGCAGATCTTTTGCAGGACAGTATATATACTTTAAATATATATATTTTCTCCACCTTATGATTTTCTTAGCAGCATTGTCTTTTCTCTAGCCTACTTTATTATAAGAATACAGCATATAATACATATAACATGCAAAACGTGTTAATCAACTGTTTATGTTGTTGGTGAGACTTTAAGTTAACAGTAGGCTATTAGCAGTTACGTTTTGGGGGGAGTCAAAAGTTATACATGGATTTTCGACTGTGTGGCAAGATCATCGTCCGTAACCCGTGTCATTCAAGGGTCAACTGCATACTTATATTGAGGACTTGCAAAGTCTCCTACAAATATATTTTTTTTAATTTTTTAATGTTTCTTTATTTTGAGAGAGAGAGATCATGCACAGAGAAGGGGCAGAGTGAGATGCAGACACAGAAACCGAAGCAGGCTCCAGGCTCCAAGCTGTCAGCACAGAGCCCAACATGGGGCTTGAACTCACGAACCAAGAGATCATGACCTGAGACACTTAACCCACTGAGCCACCCAGGCGCCCCTCTCCTACACATATTGACCTCTGTTTGGAACCTGGCTGTACCTCTCAATGAGTGGTTCCCAAGTTGTTCTTTTTTTTTTTTTTTTTTTTTTTTTTTTTTTTTTAATAACAGCTTGATTGAGATATAATTCACATAGTAACATCTCTGAGCTTCCATTTCTCCGTAAAGAAAAAGGATTGCTTAATTTTTTGGAATAATGATCGCATGCGTGTAATTGCCTGCAATGGTACTTAAGAGTTCCTGTTCTGTGTTTTCTTAGGTTCTGTATTTGTCTATTTGGCATCCAGTAATTACAGGGCAAAACTGATGGCCAGTGCTGTTCACGTCTCCCCTGTGACCCAGAGGCCATGCTCTGAACCACCGACTTCTCCAACTCCCCCACACCAAGGCAGTATTTCCCCCGCCCCTAAATCACCCCAAGGCCCAGTGCCAGACAACCAGAGACAGTGCCTACGTCCCAGAGCCCACCAGGAACTCAAACCAGATAATCCCAACCTGTTTACCTTTCATGCCTTGTCTTTCCCAGAGAAATCCCAGTAAAGGTGGTGGCCTAAGCCTTCGCCTTGCTCCATTCCGCCCCCTGGCCGACACCGGTGATCCCTCCCATGACCCTGTGCGTCTGGGTCTCTGTTCCTAAGACAACTGTGAGTAGCAAACTTTTCTTTCAGTGGCATTGGCCTCTCTGTGTGTTCACTCAGTCTCCTTCAGAAATTAACACCTGGACACAAATCAATTCTTACCTCAACAAATGTTGAGTTTCGCGGGGGGAAGTGGATGGGAGCAGCAATCATGTCTTAGGTATTTTTCTTCCTTTGCAAACAACCTTTCTTCCCCACAAGTATTAGCGCTGTGCTGAACTCCTCATCATAAGAGTGGAACTTAATCAGTGTTTGTTGAACTGAAGAGATAATTATGTTCTCTCCTAAGATATCACTTGGTGTCAAGACCCAGGCTAGAACCACAAGTGTAGACCAGGGTGGCACATTATGTCTGAACAAACCCAGGAAGCCAGGGCTCGTGAGATCATAACTAAGTCAAACGCCTACATTTCCCTTTTAAGAGAGTTCCTGTACCTTTCGTGGCATTCTGTGTTTGTGAGCCATCCCGTGATTTCTTCTGGGCCACAGGACCTTTCTCCGTGGTTGAATTTATACAGGAAGACTCCAGGAGAGGAAAAAAAAAAAAAAAAAAGATGAAATTGAGTAAAATTGGTTGGGAGAGGAATACTAACAGTCAACATGCAATTTCCCAGACATTTCTCCTCGTTCTTAGCGATGCATCACGTGGAGGGAGACCACTCAGCAGAGCCTGGGCACCCAGCCCTCTAACCAGGGCGCATGGCCAAGAGGTGGCTGCAAATGCAGGTCCCAGGGGCCGAGCAGACCGGGATGCCAGTCCCAGCCCTGTCCCTCAGCAGCCGCTAAGCTTGGACACAAGTCCCTGGACGTCTCGGTTGCCTTTGTTTCCCATTCGGTTCTTAGGAGGATTAAGTCAGCTAATGCGTGCAAAGCAAAGCGCGTGTGTGGCTGCTTAAGGGAAGTGGACCGAGAGCATTGTGGCCATTGTTCACGCAGTCACTTACCACACTCCCTCGGGCGACATTTCACTGAGCAACTACTACTGCGTCTATTACTAGGCAGACCCTGAGACCTAGCCCCTTGCCCAGAGGAGCTCCCAGTCCAGCAGGGGAGAGAAGAGTAAATAGATAATTACGCAAAGGGGTGGGCAGATTCACATATTTCTTAGAGAAGTAACGTAAGTTAGGATTAGGTTTGTAGATCAGTGACTCAAAATAACAGTGGCTCAAACTAGGTAGAAATTTCCCTCCCACGTAACAGTCTGAAGGTACGCAATCCAGGGTTTGTATGGTATTTCTGCGGTGGTAAGTCCTTAGGGACTCTGACTTCTTCCAGAGTCCCCTTCTTCATGGTTCCACCTTTCCTAAGATAGGACCCTTGTTCTTAGGGTCCAAGATGGCAGCAAGAGCTCCAGCCATCACATTCACATTCCAGGCAGCAGAATGGAGAAAAGGAAACAGAGACAAAGGATTCATTCGCATGAGCTGTGTTTTAAGGAAGATTCCTAAAAACTGCCACGCGGCATACCCACTTCTATTTCCTTCACTGGATCTGAGTCACATGGGCTACATGTGAAATCTAGGGGGGGCTAGGAAACATCTTTATTCTGCCCATGTATGTGCACAGCTACACATCCAAGGTTCTTTTTCTACAGGGGAGGTGAATGACAGATAGTGGGGAGCAATGACTAGTCTGCCACAGGCTGAACGAGCAGACTATAGGCGGGAAGCCAGAGTGGGGAATGCTTGATCCTGCCTGGGGGAGAGCTGGAGGGCTTCCAAGGAGAGAAGATGCTTTTGTTCTGTCTTTAAGGGTGAGTAGGAGTTTGGCAACGTTAAACAGATGGCCCACCAAGAGGCGGACGAGCAGTCCACCAGCCTCAACAACCACTTTGCTTTATATAAATACAATATTTGAATGGGAGGAATGCTGAGACGGCCTCCCATGTCCCATGCAGCTGGCGGTCTGGCAGCCACTGAGTTTTATAGGGTCGAAGCGGTTCCTGGGGTGTGTGAGACAGAAAACACTCCCGGGCTCGATGAAGCATCACGTGCCTTGTTAACAAGGCCTCAGGGAGATCATGTCATACACGCGAGGAGATCGTCCTGGGTTTGTCTGTTGTTGGAAGGGCGGTGGGGCGATGTGAAAAGAGCTCGGATGCCAGCCGAGGTCAGCTGTGTGGCCCGGGGGAAGCTGTTCACCTCTGTGAGTCTCCTGCTTCCCCTGTCAAATAAAGGTAATACGACATCCTTGCAAAAGGATGTCGTAAGGGCCTAGAGAGGACACTTCCCCACGCACTCTGTCAGGTTGTGACCAGCAACCATGCCCAAGCTATGAGGCAAGGCGACTATCATGCAGGTGGGGTGTAGGCTAAGATTGCCCTGGGGCTCCCTCCCCAGCACGGCCCAGAGGAGACGGAACCGTTCTGTCCCACGTGGTCACCCTGCTACTCAGACGGCACGCGCTGAGGGCTCAGCTGTGATGGGACAGGGCAGCCCGGGAGCCCATTTTTGAGCTAAGGTGAGATTCGATCTGGGGCTGCCCAGAAATGTCCAGGAGGGCAGTGGGCTTTAGAGCTGGTATCAGCAGGCACGGGCACGGGCTGGAGGAGTTGGAATCATGACTGTTATTGACCCTTACCGTACCCGTGCCCTGGAGCTTGGGAAAACTCCGGATAAAATGAGTAGACACTCTGACCAAACCTGACCGACCTGGGGCCTCCCCTGTCAGGTGTGACGCCCATTGTGAGATAAGAACACAGAGGCTCAGATTTGCTCAGAGTGGCACAACTGAGAGATGGCATCACCTTAGAGGGGACTTTAGGTCTGCTGCACCAAGCTAGCCTATGACTCCATGGGGGTCATTCACTCCTAACTCCCATATTTTGTCACAGATACAGACAACTTGGGTAGGACTTGATCTTTAACTCAGACCTCTCCTCCAAAGTCTAGCCTTGCAGACTGAACTACCTAGGTGACATCTGCCTTCACGCTTCTCATAGGCTTCCTCAAGGTAACAAGTTCAAAACTGAGCTCTTGGTAGCTTTCCCCCGCCCCAAACGCTATGCTCTCCCGCTCAGTAAATGGCACCATTCAGATGCTTCAGCCACACACCGGAAAGCATTTTTGGCTCCTTCCTTTCTTCCCTACCCTTCCTCCCCACTCCCAAGGCCATTCTGTGAGCACAGCTTGAAAGATCTGACTCCAAAACACACTTCAGGTCTCTGCTTCTCCTCATCTGCTGTCACAGTCTCTTCCCGAGACAACGACAAAGCCTCCTAACTGGTCCTCTGTCCCCTTGTGTTACATTCTCCGTATTCAGAAGACAGTGTGATCTTATAAAAAGAAAAGTCGGACGGTATATTTCCCTTATTTTAATGGATTCCAATAGCACTTACATTATATACATACTCCTTGCTATGACTCTCGCAACTGTCCAGGCCGCTGCTGCTTCCCTCGCCTTGACTCCTGCCCCTCTTTCCTACGGTTCCGTCACCTCTGGGCCATGGTGGGGAGGGGGCCCCAGGCAATCTTAGCTTATGCCCCACCTGCACTGGGTGACAATATCACTGGCCTTCTCTCTGTTCCTTGGATAGCTCAAGCTCTTTGTGTGTGTGTGTGTGTGTGTGTGTGTGGCCTCAGGGCCTTTGCACACATGTTCCCTTTTTCAGGAAGGTTCTTCCATTAACTCTCTTTTTTTAATGTTTCTATTTATTTTTGAGACAGAGAGAGACAGA